AATGAAAATTTTTGAACTGAAGTGTAACATATGTACAGAAAACCCACAGATTTTAAGTGTAGAGCTCAATAAGTTTTCTAAGTGAACCCATCCATGTAACTCCCAGCCAGATCAATAAATAGAATGTTAGCAGCAACCTAAATGTCCTCCTCGTATCCCTTCCACCTTCCTTCCCAAATATGAACATTAATATGATTTCTACCACCTTGATTAGTTTTGCCTGCTTTTTGCCCTTCTATAAGTAGAACTGTACAGTGTGCATACTCTCGTGTTTGGGTTCTTTTATCTAATTTAATATTTATGAGATTGATCCATTTTCATTCATACTCTACCTTATAAATATGTTAAACTTTTTTAATCCATTTACTGTTGATGCATGTTTTAGTTGTTTCCAGAATTTGGCAGTTGGAAACAAGGCTGCTATGAATATTCCCCTGTATGCCTTTCGGTAAACTGTGAAGTGAGAGGGAGCACAGTCTACAAAATCACCCTTATTTCTGACACTATTTGCGAGTTTAAGAGTTCCCAGGACTGGGGCGCCTGGGTGGCTTAGTCGGTTAAGCGTCCGACTTTCGCTTAGGTCATGATCTCGCTGTTCATGGGTTCGAGCCCCGCATCGGCTCTGTGCTGACTGCCAGCTCAGAGCCCGGAGCCTGTTTTGGAGTCTGTGACTCCCTCTCTCTCTGACCCTCCCCTGCTCACGCTCTCTCTCTCTCTCGCTCTCTCCTAGAAATAAATAAAAATATTTAAAAAAAAAAAGAGTTCCCAGGACCTCCCCTAGTTTCAATAATTTTCTAGAAAGACTCATAGAACTCATTAAAAGCTATTATACCCATGGCTTCAGTTTATGCTGCTGCATTTCTTTCTTTTTTTAATAAAAGTTTTTTTTAATGTTTTTATTTATTTGTGAGAGAGGGAGAGAGACAGTGTGAGCAGGGGAGGGTCTGAGAGAAAAGGAGACACAGAATCTGAAGCAGGCTCCAGGCTCTGAGCTGGCTGTCAGCAGAGAGCCTGACGCGGGGCTCGAACCCACAAACCGTGAGTTCATGACCTGAGCTGAAGTCGGATGCTTAACCGACTGAGCCACCCAGGTGCCCCTTATTTTTTTTTAATGTTTATTTATTCTTGAGAGAGAGACCGAAGGAGACAGAGAATCCCAAGCACTGTCAGCGTGGAGCCTGACCACTGGGCTCGAATCTACCAACCGTGAGATCATGATCTGAGCTAAAATCAAGAGTTGGATGTTTAACTGACTGAATTACTCAGGCACTCCTGAAGGTTTTATTTTTTTAAGTAATCTCTACACCCAACATGGGGTTCAAACTTACAACCCTGAGATTTTGATCTTGATCGTGCCTGCTCCAGACTGAATAGCCCCAATGCAACTTCATTTCTATGTGCTTCCCTGGGTTATCTATTTTACTTCCATCATTGCAAGCACCATCTATATGCCAACAACTCCTAGATCTGTGCTGTCACCCACATCCTCTTGTGAGTCCAGATCCAGTTGCCTAATGAAATCTGTCCACTGGGGTATATTTGGCAGGGACCTGGAACTCAACATGTGTAAAACTGTATTTGTCTTCCTCCACGATTCCTACCTCTCCTGCATTTCCAATGTCAGTTAATGACCTTTCCATCCATCAGGTTGGCTAACCTAGAAGCATGGAAGCATTCCTGTGCCTTTCTTCTCTCTACCTCTTCACCCAACCACAAGTCCTTAAGTTGCTTCCTGCTTGTTTCCAAACTGTTTTCTGCAGATTCAGGCTTTATCATTCCTGTATAATGGGAACAACCAGCCTCCTGCATCCACATTCACTATTGCCAATTTTGTTTGCTTCAAATCCGTGTGTCTTCATGTTATCAGAGGGATCTTTCATAAATGTGATATCATCATATCATTTTCCTTCAAGTTCCTCACCAGTTCCTTGTCATTTCCAAGGTAGTGTCCAACCTTCATGGAATGACATAAAAAGCTATGATCTAACTGTCTATTTCACCTTCTATTGATTTATTCACTTGTTCTTTCAACAAATATTTGAGTACCTACTCACTAGACTCACCTAGACACTGTGCTGGGCACTGGGGGTGTGAAAAAGAACAAAGCAGCAATGGTCTTCCCCTAGTTTAATAGGGTAAACAGAAAATTAAATATGTAATTATAATTTAGTAGGATGACAATTTTGATAAGTTCTAGGTGCTCCAGGAGCTCAAAGGAGGACCTGGGGGCTAATTGGGAAGGGTTTCACAGAGCTGTGGTGGTGAGAAGGACAGTCCCAGGAGGAAGGTGTACGTGCATGTGGAGGGGACAGGTGGAGGCAGAGGGAATGTCACATGAAGACCTGAAATAAAGAGAAACATTGGTGTGTTTTAGGAATTATGACTGAAATATTGAGTACAGAGAGATGTGATAAAAGAGACATGTGGACACAGGTTCACAGAGTCTTTATAAACCATTTTAAAGATAAAGAGTTTAGGGGCACTTAAGTTGGTTAAGTGTCTGACTTCAGCTCAGGCCATGATCTCACGGTTCATGAGTTCAAGCCCCGTGTCGAGCTCTGTGCTGACAGCTAGCTCGGAGCCTGGAGCATGCTTCGGATTCTGTGTCTCTCTCTCTCTCTCTGACCCTCTGCCGTCTCTCTCTCTCTCTCTCTCAGAAATACATAAAAAATTAAAAAAAAAGATAAAGCATTTAGGTTCTGTCCTGGTGAGAATAGGAGCCACTGAACAGTTTTAGCCAGGGAGAAGAATAATCAGATTTCCTTTTTCTAAAAGCTCTATCTGCTATGAAGGGAATGGGTTAGAGTGAACTGACTGGAGGCGGGAAAACTTTTGCATAATTTAGGTGAAAGGCAATGGTGGTGGTAGAGATGGATCAAGAGTGGGTTTGAGAGATTTTTAGGAGAATAGAATCAAAACTACAGTTGACTAATGAGCCACGGGGTTCCCCTTATGTGTGGATTTTCTTTGATAAATACAGTATACTATTGTAAATGTATTTTCTTTACCTTATGATTTTCTTAGCATTTTCTTTTCTTTAGCTTACTTTATTACAGTGCAGTATTGAATACACATAACACGAACAGTCTATTAACACATATTTTCTATATCATCAATGAAATTTCCAGTCAATAGCAGGTTATTAGTGGTTAAATTCCCACGGCCCTGGGATCATGACCAAACTTGAAATCAAGAGTCAGCCACTTAACTGAGCCACCCAGGTGCTCCGGATTGCTTATGTTAATCAAAATAAAATTCCAAAAGAAAAAAAAAAGTCACTCCGGTGTAATCAACAGTTGAAGAGATTTACTCCTATGGGGGCAAAAAGAACCCTTAGGAATACCTCCTCTTTGTAATGACTTCAGTGGTGGAGTAAATAAAGCCATAGATTTATGAGAAAAGGAAACTTGAGTGGATATTCCTAGATTTATATTGAGTAATGACAAGATTATTGGAACAAGAACAGAGATTCCTCCCTTCAGGAATTTACATGTATAAATCCTAGAGTGGCCCTTTATTTACTTAAAAAAATTTTTTTTTAATCTGTTTTTATTTCTGAGAGAGAGAGCGGGAGAGAGAGAGAGCGCATGCGCGCACGCGACAGTGTGAGCAGGGGAGGGTCAGAGAGAGAGAGAGAGAGAGAGAGAGAGAGAGAGAGAGGGAGACGCAGAATCTGAAACAGGCTGCAGGCTCTGAGCTGGCTGTCAGAACAGAGCCCAAAGCGGTGCTCGAACCCACAAACCCTGAGATCATGATCTGAGCCGAAGTCGTTTGCTTAACCGACTGAGCCACCCAGGCGCCCCTAGGTTGGTTCTTTGGGGCTTCCCTTCTGATTGCTGCATTCCCTTCTCTGATCTTGTTAGTCTCCACTTGGAGAATCCTCTTTCTGGAACAGAAGGTAAGGTTTCAGCAGGCTTGGGGCACGGGGCTGGAAGTTGGGCCAGGGAGAAGAGGCTGACAACTCCCAGCCCACTTAACTGGAAGAGAGTCAGGGGTACTGGGCATTTGCTTTACCACTGGCCTTGAGTGAGTCACCTGACACCTGGGCTTCATGGACCACAAATAGGAGATTGCACTAAATAGCTTCTAGTGTAAAAATCTGATTCTACAGGTGATCTTAGCACTAGCAGCTCTAAGCACAGAGGTAGAGGAAAATAGGAAGGGAAAAGAAGAGAAGACATAGGAAGTGAGATATAAAAGGCTTGGAATAGAAGAGGAAAGAAAAGGTTGTAGGTGAGGCTTAATGTGGACCCCAAGGAATCGCCATCCCCGGGGTAAAAATAGATTGGTGGCGATGGAGACGAAAAGGTTTTATTTCGCTTTTTTTTTTTTAAATGTTTTATTTATTTCTAGGAGAGAGAGAGACAGCATGAGCAGGGGAGGGTCAGAGAGAGAGGGAGTCACAGACTGAAACAGGCTCCAGGCTCCGAGCCGGCAGTCAGCACAGAGCCCGACGCGGGGCTCGAACCCACGAACCACGAGATCATGACCCAAGCGAAAGTCGGACGCCCAACCGACTAAGCCACCCAGGCGCCCCGGTTTTATTTCACTTTATTTAAAAATTTTTAATCCCAACCATCACTTTGCCGTCAGAGTACACACTCAATGCAGCCAAACTGCATAGCGAATTGCCCTGTTCTTAATGTTCTTGGAATAAACCCATCTTGCTTAACACCCTTTGCTTACAGAAATCTCCAACTAGATAAACCAAGGTGACCTCTATTTCGTTCTCCTGTTGTTAGGCTTCGTAGGATTTTAGAAGGACAAGCAACCATGCAGGAGTCAGCTGGGGAGGGCAAAGAACCGGGTGAGGTATCGGGCAGGACTGGACGAGGAAAGCGGTCTGGGAAGAGCGCCCGGCGGTCCTCGGCGTCCGCGCACGTGGCGCGGGATGGGCGGGGCCCCGCTCGCGGACTGCATTTCCCAGGCTCAGCCGCCCCGCGTGGCCCCGCCCCCTCCGCCGCTGCGGCCCCGCCCCCTCCACCCGGGGCTGCGCGGCGTGGCTCGGCTCGTCTCCGCTCGGCTCGTCTCCGCTCGGCTCTGCGCCCGCCCGACTTCCCAGCGGCCCCGTGCGGCCCGGGCATGCCCAGTGCGGGCGCAGCGGCCCCGGCCCTGGGAGCGCCCGGGCGGCAGCTGGCGGCCGGGCGCGGAGGGGCCAGGAGGAGACGAGCGGGCCCGCGGTGGGCGAGGGGCCGGGCGGCGGAGCGGCCGGGTAGGTGCAGACTGGCTGGGCCAGGCCCCTGGCGGCGCGCTAGGGGCGCGCGGCTGGGGCCCTGCGAGGCGGGGGCTCGTGAGGGCGTCCGAGGACAGCGAGGCCCCGAGCGCGGAGGTGCGGGGTTCCGGGTAGGGGCTTCGGGAGGGGACCCCTGGCTGGAAGGTGCGGGCCCGAGCGGAGTCGGGCCGGGGCGCGGGACGCAGCCCGCCACCCGGCGCGAGGCGCTGCCCCAGGTGCGGCGCGTCTATGTTTAGCTCTGCGTGTGACCGGAGGTGAGCGTGCCCCGCACCTCGTGCACTGCTGGGTTGCGGGGGGAGACTCGTTTCCGGTCGAAATTGGCAAGGAGCTACCGCGGAGACGCGTCCGACTCCGTGGACTCGAGGCAATCCGTGGAGCCCCCGTGAGAAGTGAGGATGCTCTCACCCTTTCTGTACTTGGTGTGGTACAGAAAGCTTCCTGCTTTCCGGCCTTGGGCTTGGCTTAGGAATGAAAGGACAGGACTGTGCCTCAGATGCTTAATAAGTTTTCATGACTGCTGGGAATCTAATGGCCGTCGGTAGATCCAGGCTCAAGAGAAGTTGCCCATGGGATGCTCGGGCTAAAGAAACGAATTGCAAAGCTGAAGGGAAAAGAAGCCCCGATGGAGGGTCAGAATGCCAGAGTTTTGAAGTTCGCAGTAGCCTTTTACTTACTGTGATCTTGAGCAAGCCATTTAAGTTCGGAGACTCAGTTCCTCCAGCTGCAAAGTGATGAGAACCAGATCCATCTTCTTTCCTTCCAGCTCGATTGTAAAATTCCTCCTGTGTGGTCTTAAATTGTGGCAAGTGCTGTTTTTCTCCATGCTTCAGCTTTTTGTCAAGCTGGGCAATTTCACCAAGGATTCCTGAAGGAAGGGTGTTAGGTCTCCGTAGAAAATTGAAGTGACTTGTCCTGCCAAGGCTGCTGTTGGCCACTAGGTCACCTGCCACTTGTACATGCGGAAGCCAGGTGTTCATGGCCACAGTTCATATAACGCAGCTGTTTTACTGGAGGAGAACTGCCGTGCTTTCACGCTACTTGTCCGTGCCCTGTGAGAAATCCAAAGTGATTGGCTTCCTTAAACTCCTAAGCTAGTTTATTCTTTAGTGGGATTCTGTTTATGTAGAAGTGACTATTTTCATGTTACAGCTATGGAGAATTTTAAGATCCTTAATTTATAGATGAGAAGGCAGCTGGTTAAGAATGAATCCATGATAGTGTTTACAAACTAGTATCATGTATCATCACTGAACAGTTACTATTCACCTGGCAGGGAGTTATCCTCTCACTCAGGTATTTTTATTTTCAACTAGGAGTATTAACAGATGTTTCTTACCCTAGAAACCTCTTTATTCCGAAGTAATGGGATTTGACCTCAGGAGCAGATGGTACACGTGGTGCTGTGAAAGTTGCCTTCCTACCACTATATTCCTTGTTCTTCTGGTTCTGGGTGGCACTAGTCCAGTTGGGTCAAAGTACAGTTTGAAGTGGTTATATACGTGACAGACAATGTGCTTATGATTTGAAAGTTTTATACAAGATGCTTGTGAAATTCTGTCATAATTTTTGAAGCTAGATTTCTCATTCACTTGAGACCTACATAAAATGAGAAAGCTATAGTGTTTTTGTTTAAAAATTTTTTTTAGGGGCGCCTGGGTGGCTTAGTCGGTTAAGCGTCCGACTTTCGCTTAGGTCATGATCTCGCGGTTCGTGGGTTCGAGCCCCGCGTCGGGCTCTGTGCTGACTGCCAGCTCAGAGCCTGGAGCCTGTTTCAGTCTGTGACTCCCTCTCTCTCTGACCCTCCCCTGCTCACGCGCTCTCTCTCTCGCTCTCGCTCTCTCTCTCTCTCTCCTAGAAATAAAAATAAAATAAAATGTTAAAAAAAAATTTTTTTTTTTTTTAATGTTTTATTTATTTCTAGGAGAGAGAGAGACAGCGTGAGCAGGGGAAGGTCAGAGAGAGAGGGAGTCACAGACTGAAACAGGCTCCTGGCTCTGAGCTGGCAGTCAGCACAGAGCCCGACGCGGGGCTCGAACCCACGAACCGCGAGATCATGACCTAAGCGAAAGTCGGACGCTTAACCGACTAAGCCACCCAGGCGCCCCTGTTTTAAAAATTTTTAATGTTTCTTTTTGAGACAAAGACAAGAGCGTGAGCGGGGGAGGAACAGAGAGGGAGGGAGACACAGAACGTGAAGCAGGCTCCAGGCTCTGAACTGTCAGCACAGAGCCCGACGCAGGGCTCCAACTCACAAACTGCGAGATCATGACCTGAGCCAAAGTCGGACGCTCAACTGACTGAGCCACCCAGCCACCCCTAGAAAGCTATAGTATTAAAAAGAATGTTTATACACTTGAACTTTTTTGACCTAGTTTATAGTCCATTATTTCTTGCATGCTAATAAAATTGTGTGTGTATATATATAGTTGAAAACAGAGGGAGGCCTATTTGATGGTCTAGGTGGACAGGTTCACACTGTACCTTAAGCTTACTTGTATACTAGAGAACCCTGTGCATGAAGTGCATACTTAGGAATTTTTCCTAGAATTTTCATCTTGCTCTTCTGTTTTCATTCAACTGTTTGAGGTTATACATCGAGCATAAGTATCGCTTAAGAGGATACTGAAATGTAATTTCAGTCACCAAATCCTCAAGTATTTGGGATGTGTAGGAGGGATAGTTAGGGCCATCAAGGCCCATAGAGGAGACTCTGGTCCAAGAGCACACTTAACCCCATATAAAAGTGAAAGAGTGGGAAGTAACTTAAAATTTGTATTGCTTGGGGCACCCAGGAGGCTGCCAGGTCATGCATGATCTCACGATTGTGAGCTTGACCCCACATCCAGCTCCACACTGAGCATGGAGCCTTCTTGGGATTCTCTCCCTCCCTCTCTCTCTCCTCATCCCTCCCCCCCCACCCCCCCACCCCCGTTTCTCCCCTGCTCACATGGTTACTTTCTCTCTCAAAATAAACATTTAAAGAAAATGGTGTTGCTTTCAGGTTTCAGCTGTTACAAGTGTCCTTAGTATCTTCGGGAGTGCCAGAACCTGGTGCGCTCTTAGTAGAGCTGTACGTGGAAAACAGCATCAGGTAGAAATGTATGTGAAGTAACTTATCTGTATTATGCTCCATCTGTTTCCAGGTCCTTCATGATGAAAGATTCTGAGACGCTTCTCTCTCCTCTGTGTAGTTGGTAGTTTGGGTGGTGAAGAGATGGCTGACAGTGTCAAAACCTTTCTCCAGGACCTCGCCAGGGTGAGTATGTCATTGAGTCATCGCTTGGTCTTTTTGCTACAGGAGCTGACTAGGAAATCTTTTAGGTTTTGGGAGGGATTTTTATTAAATTTGTTGGGTTCTTCACATGCAAGTTTTCATTCTCATCCATACTACTCAGGAGATTAAGTATGATTTTGCGTCTTCCGGAAGCTTGGGAGACCTATCTACTGCATGTCTCTAGTGTTGGAATGTTGGGGAGTTTGGCTCCAGAGCTTTTTCTTTAAAAAACTTATTAGTGGGGGTGCCTGGGTGGCTCAGGTAAGCATCCAACTTTGGCTCAGGTCATAATCTCTCGGCTCATGAGTTTGAGCCTCGCTGCAGGCCCTGTGCTGACAGCTCAGAGCCTGCACCGTGCTTCGGATTCTGTGACTCCCTCTTCCTCTGCCCCCTCTGCCCCTCCCCAGCTTTTGCTCTGTTTCTCTCACTCTCAAAAAATGAATAAACATTAAAAGAAATAAATAAAAAGCTTTTTATTTTGGGGGCACCTAGGTGGCTCAGTCATTAACTATCTGACTTTGGCTTATGTTATGAGCTCACATTCATGAGCTCAAGCCCTTGAGCATGAACCTTGCTTGGGGGTGAGCCTTCATTCTCTATCTCACTCTCCTCTCACTCTTTCTCTGCTCCTCATGGGATTATCTCTCTCTCTGCCCCTCCCTGACTTGCGCCCTCTTTCTTTCTCTCAAAAAAAAGAGTATATTGATACTTCTATTAAAAAAAAACACCCAACCTTTTAGTTAGAATAATTTTAGACTTACAGAAAAGTTGCAAGAGAGTACCAAGAGTTGCCCTGTATCCTTCACCAGCTTCCCCTAATGTAATTTTATGTAACCTTGGTCCACTGGTCAAAATTAAACAGTGAACATTGATACAGTACTATTACCTAAACTACTTTATTCACATTTGCATCACAGAACCTATTTTCTCCCCATTCTACACGGTGCAGATGATGATACTCTAGGAAACTGTCCCTTAAATATCTGTTAAGGATTTAGTAACCCAAATTAACCACAAGTACACAGTTCCGTCATAAGTGGATGTCTGAGGCTTGATTCCCTGGTTGTAGCCCATGTAGCTGTATTCCTGGGAGCAGGGGAGAGGCCCATTCACATGGGTGATGGGGGGGAGTGTCCTTCCTCAATGGGAGTGTGCCGGAGGCCGCGCCGGCTCCGACAGGTCCAGGGGTCCCTGAAGGATGGACGGTGTCGGCGAAAGAGAGTGAGAGAGCCCCGAGATCCTTTCTGATCACCAGGCAGGCATCTCTGTCCTGTCGGTTTTGGTGTCTTTATTTATAGGTTAAATGATAACATGACATCAGAAAAAGGAATTTTTACAATGGATAGCTCTTTGTGATAAGATGCTTTAGAAAGTGTACAGAAGCAGGTTTTACAGAAATATTCTTGCAGAACTATTGCAATTATAGTGAGGTTAAGTAAATCTTATAACTAGAGAATTAGGGTATTCTTAGTAAAAGACAGGATACATATTTGTTCTAAGTTAATAACGCTAAGGTTAGGTCATAGGTTAAGTGTATAGATGGGCTAAGAGTCATTCTGTCTGACTCTCAAATGTATGTTTTTGAGTTGGTTAATAAGTTGTTTGTGGAAACCTATTTGATGCTGAATGTGTGAACACCATGGAGGCCCTAAATGTGTCAGCCTTTTGTTTGTGGGTAATGCTTTAGCTACTCTCTTATCTATCCTCATCCTAGCCACCTGTAAGGGAGGGTGTTTGCAGAAAGTAGGCCTTGGGGAAGGGACTGCCCTACATCACCAATTAGGAGAAGGTGTAAGTATTAACTTAAGTTCTGCCCTTATCTGTACCTTAACTCTAAATTAGGCTCTTTGTCTCGGGGCCAGGCTCAGTTGTAATTCTTGTGTTCTTAACCCCCTAAGTCTTGGATCTGCAAGGCCCTCAGGAAGAGCCTTTTGACAATCATCCGTAGAGCTTTCATCTAAAATCTCTCTTGTAAAGGCAGGAATATGCTTTTCCTTATGAGGTATCTGTGTTCAGAATATGGGTCTGATATGGAATATTGTGAGGCCTGGTCAATACCAGCACAACATGAGCCAGTAGTAGCAGGAGATATCAGTTTTCATTTCTCATGGCAGTAGCTGTGCAAACACTGCCATTTCCTTGCTGTGACTGCCATCCATAGAGGCCAGTGCGGCTCCCAGCAGGAGTGCTTAAAAGTTTATTACACTTTTGAGTGAAAGAGGGAATTGGAGTATCTCAGAAGGATCAAAGAGACTTCATGCAATGAGATCTACTTTAATACTTTTACCTCATCTTGCCATTCTTGTGCTGTAAAATTCCAGCTCTGGATCAGGTCTACGATGTATTTAATGTGTGCTCCGGTAGACTGTAAACCTCTCAGAGGTGAGGATCCCGTCAGCTACCTTAAATATTTAAACAATTGGTGGAAGATTTAGAGCTTAAAAGCAAAATAAGACCTAGTAAGTCAAAGATCAGGTGCACACTGCCACTTTATGCTATCAGTGGTTGGTACGTAACCATTTGCCCATTCCCGTTTTTATGTGTCCTGGCAGTTATCTCTCAAGTTTGTTTAGCTAATAATAATAGTTAAGGATTCCATTTTTGGGTCCAGCTTGGCCTTTGCTTCCAGAATTAATGTCTTTTTCCTGCCTTTTCTTTGTGAGATTGAATACCCCAGTGCTGCCATTCTGTCCTGGAAATAAACCTGTTGGGGCACGTATTTTAAACTTTTTTTGGTTTTTTGGTTGTATACTCTTCCTGCTAACTTACACATTTCTTGAGCATTTTTATATGACCAATGTCTGACTCATTGAAGATGTTTAATATGTGGATGGATGGATGGATGGATGGATGTAGATTTTGGAACTGGGTGATAGGCACTAACTGAAACTTTTCCGCCATTGGACCTCTTCCAATACGGTTGTCAAGAGCCTGTGTCACTGTCTGAATAGACTTAACCTTCTCCCCTATCCGTACACTCTTCAAGGACATGTTTTTCTCCACCTATACTGCCATGTTGTCTGTCTTATGTGGCATGCTCTTAACCCTGCAGCTATTCACATTTTACAGCAATGATTTCTTTGTGTCTTTTTCCAGCTATGGTCCAGCCCCTGGTCCTTGCTAGAGACCAGTGTCTAATTTGTCCTTGGTATCACTAGAGTTTAGCACAGGATAGAGGACATACTAGAGGCCTTTGATTTCTACTGAAGGAAGATACGGGAGGGTAATAACCAGGCTTTGTAGTCTTAAGTGTGGAGGGATTGGAAAGCCACTGTTTTGCAGCCATGTTCTTCAAGCTTGGTTTGAGCAGGAATTGTCAGTGGGTACTAAATCTAGGGGAGAAAATTTGATTAGCAGGATACTTGCCTGGTCTCAGCACTGTCTGCCCACCCATAGCCGATGAATTGCAAGATGAAAAGTTTGCAACCATACAGTGGAGAAGCTGGACAGCACCTTGACCTAGTATGTAAAATTCACATGACTGGCAAGGGCAGACAGATGTCATGTGTCTCTGGATGTAATACAGAAGGGAAGGGCCCACCAGCACTTCTGTGATAGTCCTTCCCAAATTGGGGTAGCCTGGGTCTAATTGTGAGTGGACCTAAATTGAGGGAATAACATGAAATAACTGGCCTCTGTATTTCAAGAAGAAAGACAGGCTGAGGGGCTATTTCTGATTGAAAGAAGCTAAAGAGACATGACAGCTAAAGGTAGTGTATGATTCTGAACTGGTTTCTGACACATAAAGGGTAAACATGCTGTAGGGGGCCAGTATTATGGTATTAAATTTCTTGAGTTGGTAACTTGTGGTTATATGGAAGAATTTCCTTCTTAGAAATACACATTCTGATACAGGAAAAATGTGTATAAGCGTAAATAATTAATTTGCCACATTTATTATTACTTGGCAAATCTGAAAAAGGGGTATTTGGAAGTTCTGTTCTTATAACTCCTATAAATTTTGAACTATATCAAAAGATTAAGGCTCCTTTAAGCCACGTAGCAGAGAAAGTTCAATAGTTTCCACTGTTATGTCACTTTATGTAGTTTGGAAGTTTCCTGATGGGTATTCCTCCCTGTTTAATATAGGGAATCAAAGACTCCATCTGGGGAATTTGTACCATCTCAAAGCTAGATGCTCGGATTCAGCAAAAGAGAGAGGAGCAGCGTCGAAGAAGGGCAAGCAGCGTCCTGGCGCAGAGGAGAGCCCAAAGTATAGAAAGGAAGCAAGAGAGGTAAGGAGGCACTGATGTCGAAGATGTCTGAGGGGGAAGGCGCTTCAGGCAGTGACTGGTCCTTAGTGTAGAAGGAACACTTTATGTAGTCACTTGGAGTTTCAGTACCACCTTTCTTCTTTGCACTTTTTTCCAAAAAAATGTTACAGGTGACTCTTTTCTCCCCCCATATTGAATTAAACTAAGGTCTACCAATAATGCTTGCTCAAAATATGGTGTTTTGGGGCACCTGGGTGGCTTGGTTGGTCGTTTCCGACTCTTTTGAGTTTGGCTCAGGTTGTGATCTCAGGGTCGTGGGATCGTACCCCCACCCTCCAAACAAACAAGTGTTTTAAAAAAATTTTTAAAAGAATGCAGAGATTTATATAAACTAACATTTAAAAAATAACGTCATGGGGTTTTAAAAAGACAGAATGGTGAATAGAGAACTGCAAAAAACATTAAAAGAAAATCTGCTCTCCTAGAAATAGTTTTCTTTAATGTTTATGTATTTTTGAGACAGGGAGAGAATGCGCGGGAGAAAGCTCTCCCGTGTGAGTTGAGGAGGAGCCAAGAGAGAGGGAGACAGATATCCGAAGCAGGCTCTGCACTGACAGCAGGGAGCCCAGTACAGGGCCCGAACTCAGGAACCATGAGATCATGACCTGAATCAAAGTTGGACATTTAACCACCTGACCAACTGAGCCACTCAGGTGCCCCTAGAAATATATATTTTTTAATGTTTTTTTATTTCTCAGAGAGAGAGAGCATGAGCAGGGGAGGGTCAGAGAGAGAGGGAGACACAGAATCCGAAGCAGGCTCCAGGCTCTGAACTAGCTGTCAGCACAGAGCCCAACGCGGGGCTCGAACCCACGAACTATGAGATCATGACCTGAGCCAAAGTCGGCCACTCAACCGACTGAACCACCCAGGCGCCCCTGCCCCTAGAAATATTTTTAACCATTTCTCATGGACACTGGGAGGACATTGGGAGAGCCGTAGGTGCTAGAAAAATAGTGGTAACCACCAAAAGGTATAAAGTGGTGGAGAATGACTGGATGATGATTTGGAAATAGCCTGTGTGCCTTATGAGCTGAATACATGTGATCTTTTCCAGTGAGCCGCGTATCGTTAGTAGAATTTTCCAGTGCTGCGCTTGGAATGGTGGAGTATTCTGGGTGAGTTCTTTTTCCTCAATTGCCAGGTGCCTTGTAAACATCTTCAGATTGTTGCTCCGTTAATAGTTGTCAGTTCTTTTCTTGAAACAGACACAAATAGCTTTCACCTGATGGTACATGCTTAAGACTATAACTGGGACTCTGTGCAGCTGCAATGATTTTATTTCCACTGGAAGAACGCTTGTATATAAATGTCAGGGATAACCCTGAATATACACTTTTAATTTTTAAAAAACAACTCATTCACAAGTTTTAATGTTAGAGGTAACAGTTTTCTCTTGACATGGGGCATTTTGGAGAAGAGCAGCTATAGGAGATCAGAAGGGGAAGGCAGAAGGACAAGAGCAAGGTTATCCTTGCACCTGGTCTTATCATTCTGGTAGAACTGATGACTACTGAAAACACACACAAGAAAATGTTGCCTAGAGTTAACTGAGAGCCAACACGGGCTTAAGTGAAATTTGAGTAATTTGAAGAACAGGTAGTGAAATTTGGGGAGGGGATCTGGAATTCTATATAACCCAGCTTGTCTTAATCCAAACATTTCGCAGATGTTTTCAGATGTTTACTTAAGAAAATATTACGTTTTTAGCATATGCCCGTATTTTGGTCTGAATACTATGTAAAATGTTCATCTGTGTCCCCAAGCAGGTCTCTGTTTTCACAAGCAATGTCAGGTTTGTACCTTAGAGGAGGCCGGGTCCGGTTTTGGTGCCTCTTCAGGGCTCCTTGAAAAGGTGCCTCCTTCTGGAAAATGACTGAAACTTGGAACTCTTTTTAAAGACGAGCTTTTAATGTTTTCTTTATTCTTTCCTTTAGTTAAGTCTCCTATTGTTTTATCGAGTGTTTATTCCTGTACTGCAGTCAGTAACAGCCCAAATTATTGGTAAGTATATGCATTGCTGCGTGCCGTGTGCCTGGGGCGGAGGCGGGAGGGATTGTCCCCTTCTCTCTCCGTTTATCGAACACTCCCGTGTACCGGGAGCTTCAGCTGTTTTTAGCTCAGGCCTCTCAACAGCCCTTTAATTGGGTACTGTTACAGTCATCATTTTCATGGATGAGAAAATGGAAATTAGTTGCTCAGGTTAAACCATTAGTAAGGGGCCGAGCTGGGATTTAATCCCAGGTTTAAGCCCTGTATACTGTGTGCTGTTAAAGCACTGTGACTTGATAGTCACCACCCGGTAAGGGGAAGCAGGCCTGTCTCAAGGTAAGCAGCACATAGCTAGGACGATTCGAATTAGAGCCGTAGCTAGAATTTGAAGTGTTTACGTAGAGGAAAACTATCTGAAGTAGTCATGGTTGTGTGCTGGCAAGAAACAAAGGGTGTGTGTGTGTGTGTGTGTGGTGAGGGAGAATAGTCACCAACTCAGGGCTCCATATTCATTTTTTTTTGGTTTTCATTTCCCCAGTGACACTGACACCTCTCCATCCCCCTTTCTTAGGTGATCCATCACTACATGGAGATGTTTGGTCGTGGCTGGAGTTCTTCCTTACATCCATCTTCAGTGCTCTTTGGGTGCTTCCTCTGTTTGTGCTTAGCAAAGTTGTCAATGCCATTTGGTTTCAGGTAGGTCCTCAGCAGAAGGGCGTGTGGGTGCTGCAGCATGGCGGGTTGGTGGGAGGCAGGTGTTAGACCGTGGGTGGTGGCCACACGGTAATGGTCTCATAGCCTCACTCTTTGTTGGCCGTGCAGCCCACGGGTGATTACTGTGCTCTTGGAGACTGGAATTACTGTCTCGTCACAAAAGCGTCTCGTTGCCAGATGTCCTGGGGGCTTCTCTCACCTGGCAGATCTAATGGCCGATCAGTGGCCTTAGCTTTCAGAATGGATAGTGAAGCCATCTTATTCATGTTTTGGTGAGCTGCTTTCTCTGTTACAGGACATAGCTGATCTAGCATTTGAGGTGTCAGGGAGGAAGCCTCACCCATTCCCTAGTGTCAGCAAAATAATTGCTGACATGCTCTTCAACCTTTTGCTGCAGGCTCTTTTCCTCATCCAGGTGAGACTGGCCTTCTGGGTCCATGGGCAGATTAAAAAAAAAAAAAAAAAAAAAAGGTTCACCCAAGGGAGCTTTGCAAAGATAGGGCTTTGCATTTATACGGGGGCAGATACGCTTTATGGGAGGTAATGCTTTTTAAATAATTTTTTTCACAGAAACAGCTAGAGAATTTAAAAATCATAAAATGATAAGCAGCACGAACTTACCAGCTCTTCCCTGCCAATGGGCATTGTCTGCTGTCCTGCTGTTGAGTCACTTGAGGAGCAGCTGTGAGGCTATCTAGGCAGAGGGGGAGGACTCAGTGGCAGGTGGACAGCGTTAGTCCTCTGAAGCGTTGCAATTAAGATTTTCCGTATTTGTTCTTCAGGGGCTGTTTGTGAGTCTCTTTCCCATCCACCTTGTTGGTCAGCTGGTTAGTCTTCTGCATATGTCCCTTCTTTACTCACTGTATTGCTTCGAATATCGTTGGTTCAATAAAGGTGAGTCCGTCTAAAGAAACTCCGAAGTAGGAGGTCCAGTCTAGAAATGCTGCTGAGCAGACTTCTTAAACTGTTCAGTACTTGGGGCGCCTGGGTGGCTCAGTTGGTTAATCCGACTTCGGCTCAGGTCATGATCTCGTGGTTTGTGGGTTCGAGCCCTGCATCGGGCTCTGTGCTGACAGCTAGCTCAGAGCCTGAAGACTGTTTCAGATTCTGTATCTCTCTTTCTCTCTGACCCCACCTTGCTGTCTCTCTCTCTCTCTCTCTCTCTCTCTCTCTCTCTCTCAGAAATAAATAAAACATTAAAAAATAAATAAATAAACTGTTCAGTACCAAGGCCATTGGCAGATCATCTTTGGAAAGAAGTAGCCTCTTTGGCAAGAGGGAATTTACACTTAAGGGGTTTTCACCCTTAACTTTGCTGCTGGCAATACGGCGATGTAACATTGTCTCCATGCTGCTTAATTTGATGTAGCTCTGACTGAGCCGTACGGTGGCATAAAGGAGCATCATTATTCTGAATTAGAGAAATTAATTTGACGTCATTGCTTTCATATTCTTTTGGGGGTGTTTTAAAAGACCTTGGCATATTTATTTGTCTGGGTGTCCCATGTTTGGAAAAGGTTAACTGATTTCTAGAGAATGGCTGCCCTTTTATTTGATATCTTTGTTCAAGACTAATCATGACAAAGGATGCTGACGATGTAATTCATGATTCCTAGCAACTTTGAAATTGTGACTTGAGTAACTGAAAAGCTTTGTGCAGAAGCCTTATCATATTCAGACAATTCCAACTTGTATGCTTTAACTGTTCTACGTGACAGATCTCTACCTAAAACTCAGACCTCAAATAATTTGTCTATGGAGGCGTTTGACTAAAAGGAAATTAGCAATCTAATTGTACTGGCTCTCTTGTTTTAGGAATTGAAATGCATCAGCGGTTGTCAAACATAGAACGGAATTGGCCTTACTATTTTGGATTTGGTTTGCCCTTGGCTTTCCTCACAGCAATGCAGTCCTCGTATATTATCAGGTAATTTGACCCAAGGGACTTGACGGGGACTAGTAAAAATAAAGACTCATTGTAGGGTGCACCTGCCGTATACCTGGTTCTGTGGTAGGCCTTTTCCATTCTTATTTGGCTATCAGGAGGTCCGCAGACTGTTTCTCCTTAATAGATAGTCCTAGACGTTTGTCAGTTAGCATTAAAATCTAGCCTGCACAATCCTATATGCCATATGTATTCTTTCATGTTGCTTCTGGGGCAGTGTTAAAAGTAGCTAGTGCTTAGGAAAAAAAATTTTTCGGAGATGTTGCAAGATTAAGATTTCATCAAGCCATGATGTTAGCTCTGGACGCAGGGCACTTTGGGCTTCTAATATCCCTCCCGCCAAAGTCACGGCTGTCACGAAGGTGACTGTTTTTCTTCTGTTTACAGTGGCTGCCTCTTCTCCATCCTCTTTCCTCTATTCATCATCAGCGCCAACGAAGCTAAGACTCCTGGCAAAGCATAGTAAGTATCAGCCAGTATTGGCTAAAGTGTAGTCACTAACGTAAGCTGTCTGTCTGTGTCAAGGATTGGGGCTATAACATCGCAATTATACAAATGAGACTTTTTAAAAAATAACCTCTTACGTTGTAGGAAAATATTAATATATACTATGATGAGAGAGAAACGCTTTGGAAATATACATCCCCCAATTTTTCCCAGACATACATGCACATTGCGTTTCAAAGAATTTATACAATTTTATGTATAAAATTATACATAAATTTTAATATTCTTAAAATTTAATTCATTGAGACACCTGGGTGGCTCAGTCGGTTGAGCATCGGACTTTGGCTCAGGTCATAATCTCATGGTTCATGAGTTCAGAGCCTGGATCTTGCTTCGGATTCTGTGTCTCCCTCCCTCTCAGCCCCTCTCTTGCATGTGCTCTCTCCCTGTCTCTCTTGCTCTCACAAATAAACAATTAAAAAAAAATGAACAATTCACTGAACATAAGGCACTTGGAAACACCTATGGGTAAGTCCATTTTTGTAAGAATGGCAAACTTTTTTATAGTGGGCTACATGATCTGGCTACGTGAGTTTATGGATGGTAAAACAAAGTAATGTGAATCTTTAGCACTAATAATTCTTCTCAAGTTTTATCATTAAAAAAAAAACCAGTTTAATCTTTGATCAGTTTTGGTGACGTCTGTGAGGATACGTGCATTAAAAATTTCAGATCCGCTTTGGGTGCTGGCTCGCTCTTAGTGTAATTGCAATGTCTGTAATTGGCTTTCCTCTGAAACTCTTGAAAATGAAGCACAGATAGTATTTGATGTCTTCAGATGTAGCTTGATGTTTATACCCTGAAAGTCAGCCATGGAAAAGTACTCCTCAAATCTGAATTAACCTGAAATGTAACTTTATTTCCTTGAAGCCTTGACACTCCCAGTGGTGATTCCATTGCATTCCTGACTGCATTGGACCCAGCGCAGCACACTCTGTAGTTGCTGCCTGCTAACCCGTGTGTCTAATGTCTGTGCTGCCTTGATCACATTTCAGTCGTCCTGTGTTCCCCTGCATCATTTTAAAAAGTTTAACTTAGATAAGCTCTCAGGTAATAACAGTAAGTTTGATCAACTGGTAACCTAACAAGTGGGTCTCTTGCCTTTCAGCCTTTTCCAGTTGCGCCTCTTCTCCTTGGTGGTTTTCCTGAGCAACAGACTTTTCCACAAGACGGTCTATCTGCAGTCTGCCCTGAGTGGCTCCACCTCGGCCGAGAAGTCCCCTTCACCTCACCCGTCTCCTGCCAAACTGAAGGCTGCTGCAGGCCACTGAGTCTGCCGTCCAGAGGGGACGGGTGGGGTCGGGAGGAGGCTGTAAGGGACTCCTTTCCGTGTCACCTCCTCTGCCAGAGAAGGCACGACCCGCTCTGCCAAGGGCCCTCTGCATATTCCCTTCTCTCGGAGGAACTGGGAGCCTTGTCTGTGGTGCGCGTAAGGCAGAATCTTCCTGACACCAGTGTGTGGGTTTTTAACACCGGTGGGTCCGACTGGACCACGGGTTTTTCTGCAGCTCTTTTCTAGCACTTGCCAGCCCCCCCGGGCCTGGACTGATTGGAATACTTTTTTTCTCCCTGTGCCATTTACCCTCCTGACTCCCCTTCCTGCCTTCCACCGCCCTCTGGATGAATGGATTTTGTAATTCTAGCTGTTGTATTTTGTGGACCTGTTATTTTTGTGTTGTTTTTCTGTGAAGCACATATATTGGATGTGGGAGGCGAAGGAGCATCTCATTAGCTCCTGGTCACTCCCTTTATAGCCATCACTGTCTTGTTTCTTGTAACTCGGGTTTGGTTTTAGTCTCTCTTGCTCCACTGCAAAAAAAAAAAAAACAAAAAAAAAAACGAAGAGATGGGACAGGAGGAAAGACCTCACAGCCACATCTGCTGGGTCTTGAGCAGTGAGTTTCTTCCCCTTGAAGGGGACAAAGCTTTTCTCCCCACTGGTACATTGAAAGTTCCCCAGCTGTAGGGAGGTGCCAGTTTCGGACAAGTGCCACACAGCACCAACTGCTCAGAGAACCTGTGCTTTGAACTCGGGAGGGCCGAAGTGTGCTGCTGGCCGCTGCCGGGCACATCAGAGGAATCCTGGCTGCTGCAGATAGGAACCGAAGGGGTAAACTTATTAAACCCATGAAGCCTGTGGTTGGTTGGTGTTTTCCTGTCATTTTAAAGAGACTAAATATGGGGGAGGGGAGATGTCACAACAGTTGTCCAGTTTTAAAATGTCACAATTAAACGTGAGCTGGTTTCCAAGTGTGTAATGGTTGAGTTTTCAAAAGTCATCACCTTGTGAAATGATAAAAAAGGTTAAGTGGCACACACGACTTTGCCTGGGTAATTTGGTTGTGGCTTTGAGAGATTTGTTCTGGAAAATGTTCCCCGAGGAAGTGCGGAGTATGTGATTATAATCATGTTTACATTGTGAAAGAACTGGAAATTGTTTATTTTGAAGTCCATATGTACGTATGTCTCCTGTGTATTCAGGAAAGATGGGACAGCCTTTTAGGTCTCAGTGTCCTGAGTGTTCGCATTAGGGAAGATGTTAAACATTTGGTTAACAGAAACTTTTATTATGTACAAGACTGTAAGGATGTAAAAATGATTGCTGAGAGACGTAAAAGCAAGTCCAAAGTACAGAAGGTTTTAAAATAGTGGGCATCTTGGGAGTGGGCGTTGTTACCAGCTTGTGCACAAGAAAATGTAAAAGACATAGTTAAAATAAGATTTCTTTCCTATATTCATCTGTGACATCTTTGGTCATTTGACAGTAGTATTGCAGAGAAATAACTTCCAGGTTGCTGTGGGGGTGGTTTGAAGAAGATCTCTGTATTTCACCAGCAATTCCCTTATTGAAGATTATTTAAGATTTTACAGTTGGCTTAGTTATTTAAGTGGCCACATCTTTGCTGCCCGGAATTGGTGTTTGTGCCAACTAAGCTGGAAGGGTGGGAAGTTAGTGGACGACGTGATTCTTATCCAGCACTGTGCCTAGCTGTAGAAGATGCTTAAAGATGGAAGTGAGGAATCTACAGTTTTATTAGTGTAACTGAGAGGCCAGGCCGGCACAAATGATGGAGAGGGCATATCTACAACAGAAATCTGGCAACAGTCTAGAATGAGATGTAAGCAAAAGCCGTGTGAACTTTTCTTACATTTTCGTTAGGGTGAGGGCACTGAGGGCAGTGGTTAGGAAATTAGGATCAAAGGGAGAGTAGGTTCTGTTTTTGCCAAGTTCAGAATGGCAATTTGAGGCAGATGGACAGTAACTGAAAGTAAGGGAGATCACATTACTAAACCTGAGAGCTTGAGTTTTAACCATGTAACCAGGAGGATCTAAGGAATCCTGTTCACAAAACTTCTTTTCCAGGCTAGGCATCCCAGCTTAGGTATATATGGTTCAACACACTATCCTCGTATCCCATCTGGAGCTCAGTTACCCATTGTAGCAGCTCGAAGAATTAGAAAGTGGACGCCTCAGGTCTGAGGATGGTTGTTAAATTGGTTGGAAAGTTAAAAAAATTTTTTTAAATGTTTTTATTTCTGAGAGAGAGAGAGAGAGAGTGAGCAGGGGACAGCCAGAGAGAGAGGGAGACACAGAATCTGAAACAGGCTCCAGGCTCTGAGCTAGCTGTCAGCACAGAGCCCAACGCGGGGCTCGAACCCACGAACTGTGAGATCATGACCTGAGCCGAAGTCGGATGCCTAACCAACTGAGCCACCCAGGCGCCCCTCAGTTGGAAAGTTTTAAATGGACAGAGTCACATACTGACTTAATTGCTCTGTACTTAGGAAGGGCCCTAGAGAAAGGTGAAGAGGGACTGAGAAGAGGGCAGCCAGTGATTGGAGGTTTTTGAACCACCTTAAAGAATAACTGCTGTGGGAATAAAAAGGCAATTATAGTTGTCTGTTCACGGTCTATTCATTTCCCATCCACTTAAATTTTCTGATTATAGCAGTATATTCAGTGTCTACATTCATGTGTTTATCAAGACTTCTGGCAAAGGCGATCAGCTCAGTAGTACAATGGAATTTTCTTCCTCCCCCATATATATATTTCCCCTATCCTCTAATGACCCACAGAAGCTAAAAGGAAGCTGACTACGGTGTAACTTCTGCCTATTAAGTGATGAGAGCCATGCATCACTGAAATATTTTGAATGGAGTCCATAGAGTGAGTCCATAGAGCCAATGGATGACTGACTTCATCATGTAACATTTGACTGCCTTCTCTGTTGGGCACTGCGCAAAGTACTGGGGATTCAAGGATGAACCAGAAAGATGATCACTGTCCTCTTGGACCTAATAGCGCAGTGAAAGAGAGTGACAAGTGATCAGATTTTTAAAAATAACATGTTCAAATAGCTATTTTCCATAGGTCTCAAAGCTGGATAAAACATTGGATTTCAGAGAATCTCAGCAGGGTGAGAGGTCAGGCTATCCACTCAGCCTCCTGCTCTTGGATTCACTCTCTGATTTCAAGTTTAAATGTTTTGTAGTGCTTTCAGACCCATGGGGAAAATAGTTCTGGGTTCATCAGAATCCTCTCTGGAGCTTTCCCAAAATACACATCAGACCTCCTGGACCTGGGGACACCTGGGTGGCCCAGTCAGTTGAGCTCCAACTTCAAGCCCCATGTCAGGCTCCACTCTTGACAGTTCAGAGCCTGCTTGGGATTCTCTATCCCTCCCCCACTGGTGCTCGCTCTCTCAAAATAAATAAAAGACCACCTGAACCTAGAGGAAATTTAATTCCAGAACAAAAGGTAACTTTAAAAATTCTAATAACTACTTTCATAGAAATTTGGGAAACTTGGCAACCATACAGTAAACAGATTGTGGAAAGGGGACAGAATAGGAAAGTTCTTAGAAATTAAAGCAGCTGTGGAAATAAAATGAGATGGCTTATAAAAGTGACTGAGAAATTACGAACAGACACTTCTCCAAATCACACATCCAGATGGCTAAAAGACACACGAAAAGATGTTCAACATCACTCATCATCAGAGAAATGCAAATCAAAAGTATGATGAGATACCACCTCACACCTATCAGAGTGACTAAAATACAAAACAAGAGACAAGTGTTGGCAAGGGTGTAGAGAAAAGAAACCTTTGTGCACTGTGGGTGGGAGTGGAAAACCGCATGGAGCTTCCTCAAAAAAATAAAAATTTAAATTATCCTATAATGCAGTAATTGCGCTACTGGCTATTTACCCAAAGAATACAAAAATATTCAAAGGGATACATGCACCCCCGTGTTTATTGCAGCATTATTTACATTAGTCAAACTATGGAAGCAGCCCAAGTGTCCTTTGGTGAATGGATAAAGAAGTATGTATGTATGTGTGTAAGTATGTGTGTATGTATGTATAGTGGAATATTCAGCCATAAAAAGAAATCTTGCCATTTGCAATGACGATGGAGCTAGAGAATATGATGCTAAGTGAAAGAAGTCAGACATACTATATGATCTCACTCGTGGAATTTAAGAAATGAGCAAAGGAGGGGGAAAAAAAGACCAAGAAACAGACTCTTAAAAATAGAGAACATAGAGGGGGAGTGGGGGGTGGGGTGGGGAAATAGGAGATGGGATTTAAAAAAATAAATGATTTAAAAAAGAGACACTGAGGAGCCTAGAGAATTGCAAGATAAAATTGAGAAAATTTCTCAGAACATAGAGCAGAATGATAAAGACATGGAAAAAGTTAATAATCATGGAAATGTACAAAAATCAGGACGTCTGACATTCGTTTAAATAGCACCTTCAGAAAATGAGAACAGGAACATAGAGACAAGACTACAAGCAAAGAAAATTTCCTGGATGGATGATGAAATCGGTATTTTCAGTTCTCGCAAAGAGTAAAGCAGCAAAAATGAAAGAAGGAAAAACACGTAGATGGGATCTTTAAGGAAAAGCCATTTATGAGAGAAAAATAGGTTACTTGCAAAGGACTGTGATTGACATGGGCATTAGCCTTCTCAAGAACAACTCTAGATGACAAGATAACAATGTAATGCCTTACAAGGGTGCTTTTTTTGTGTGTGTGGTCATGTGTATAAGGGATGGGTGGGTCCCTTGGGGCGCCTTGGTGGCTTAGTCGGTTAAGCGTCCGACTTTCGCTTTGGTTATGATCTCGCGGTTCGTGGGTTTGAGCCCCGCGTTGGGCTCTGTGCTGACTGCCAGCTCAGAGCCTGGAGCCTATTTCAGAGTCTGTGTCTCCCTCTCTCTCTCACCCTCCCCTGCTCACGCTGTCGTTCTCTCTCTCTCCTAGAAAAAAAAAAAAAAAAAAGGGATGGGTGGGTCCCAATTTTGTTTCCATAATTCCAGCTGTGTTATTAAGGGCAAAACAAAGGCATTGTTTGCTCTCCGTTCAGCTTTTTTGAAAAAGTTACTTGAAAAATCTGTCAAAGGGAAAAATAAATCCAAGAAATAGATGAGTAACTGAAACAAAACAAAAATACCCAACCAAACAATAATGAAACAGTGACATAAGTGCATTAGGAAGAAATCTTGGTAATGTAGCTTTGCAGCACACCTGGAAAGGTAGATTCTTCAAGAAGAAAATAGATACTGTTACTCTAGTGTGCCTCAGATGAGATGAACGCATGTATTCTTTGGATCAATGATGTAAAAGATGTAAGTAGACACTTCAGGAAAAACCAAGAGCTTCCCGGGAATGACCTGACTCCTTCAAAGCAAGCAAAAAAGTAGCTTTAGTCTAAGCAATTGATGGAATAGTAAAAATAGTATTTCTGAAAGAACCAACTAAACTTTTGGTCCAATAAAGCAGGAAGAAGGATTAATTAATATGCTGCATTCATGTATCATCTCTGAGATTACAATAACTGTAATTTCCCCCATGACTGCTGTCCCAACCTTGACTTTACTTACAGAGAAGACTTTCCCTATCAACTGGTAGTAAAGGATCATCCTACAAATAGGCTTAAATTTTAAACTTTGTTCTTGAGTAGTGTACTTTTGACTTTTGAAAAAACTTAGTTTTACCACCTGGAAACTTAGGAGATTCCCTTTAAGAAACATACATGTTCAATAATTTTTTAAAAATTAATGAAAAACCAAGATTTTATGTTCATGAAACAGTATATATTTTTTTACTTCAAGGAAATTTAATTTTAATTCCTTTTTCTTTTTTGACAGGAAAAAAAAACCCAACTCTTGTTCTGAAGAAGCATTTACTTGAAGTTCTGCACTTCCTTCAGGTTGGTTCTGCACTTCCTTCAGGTTAAGCTGTAA